TTGAAACTGGGAGCCAGAAGCAAGGAGCACGGAGGCGTGGCTTCAGTTTAACTCTGTCTCGAGGCCAATTGGACATCATAATACCCATTCCTGGCTAATCCTGCAAATTCCTCTGGAAAAATTGCAGGGCAGCATCATTGAGCATTTATAAATCACTTAAATAAAGAAATGTGTCATATTTTCTTCCATCTTACCTCTTGGCTCCTTCTGCCTTTTTCATTACCTTAGCAGTACTTAGTTTGGTTTCACAAGGACAACTATGGAGTCTCATACTCAGTAAAAAAAAAAAAGCTCTGACACAATATTTGGGTTTAACAAGAGCCTTTGAAGTGCTTCTTTCTATTAACAATCATAACCAAAACCAAATACATTTTTATTGACTATGCCAGGAATGGAAGTTCTATAAACTGACAGAAACAGGAATTTTCAGTGAATCCATATACCAGATGAGATTCTGTAAAAGAACCAAGTGTGTCACAGAAAAAAAAAGTAGCCAGAAGAAAGGATATGAACCTAAATAGATGATTTGGACTGCTCTAGCACTCCTTGAAGACATAATTTCCATTATCTATTGTGACTAGGGATGCAAAAATACAGATAATCCTAATGCCAGTTGCTGCCACCTACTGATCATCTTACTTCTTGCAGTCCACATATGGAAGCCCTCTAACGCATAGACTTGTATCATTAAACCATGTGAAAATTAACTTTATGTATATTCCTTGAATTACTTTGTCAGACATGTCCAAAATCTTCTAAGAATAAATGTTTTGGAAACAAGACTACATCTGCAACAAATTGTGGGATAAGTAAAACCTTCAGTTTAGAGCCCAACTGAAGATTTTACCTACTATACCATTAATGGAAAACAGTTTTTACACAATAAGCTAGAATCTTGATATATCCTATTATACTATAGTTTACAAAATCACTTTCAAAGTATAACTGACTTTCCTGGAAACTCTCCATCCTCTCTGCCTTATTTACTGGGTCTTGGATTCAGATCATTAGAACCTAGTAACTCTTCCCTTGTTACAGAAAGTAATTAAACTCTAACAACTCGGGGTTCTTCCTTAGTGCAATTTGCAGAAAGCCCAGATCTAATCTGAACTTACTCCACTGTTGTTTTTGGAAACCCTGCACTCCAGCACGCCAATGTGCTATCTTTGGCCAATTGTAACTCTGCCTTTTGACTTGGACCACCCATCAATTTCAGACAACTGACTCCAAAGGTTACAGTATAAGGATGCAGGGGAGTTGGCATGTATTCGGCACACGATGACAAAAAGGTTTGCCATCACTGCCCTATACTATTCCGGACAAATGGCTGTCCAAATCTCTTCTTAAAAACCTCCAGTGATGGAGCACCCACAACTCCTGAAAGCAATCCATTCCAATGGTTAATTGTTCTGTCAGGAAATTTCTATCAAAGAAATTTGTGCTTAGTTCTAGTTGCTTATCTCCTTGAATAGTTTCTATCCATTGCTTCTTGTCATGCCTTCTGGTGCTTTGAAAAATAGATTGATCTCCTCTTCTATGTGGCAACTCCTCAAATATTGGAACACTACCATCATGTCACCCTTAGGCCTTCTTTTCACTAGACTAGACATACCCAATTCGTACAACCTTTTTGTCAGGATTCCAAGTAACATCCCCAACAAAAGAAGACTCCAAGGCTAGAAATTCTTCAAAGTTCCATTTTATTTGAGATGTCATATTGGCACATCTGGGAAAACCCGAATCTGAAAGCTTCCAGATTTTTCCCGCCCAACAGAAAGTCCAAGACCCTTCCCCTGCATCCACATGTCCATCACATGGTCCAATCAATGCACCGTCCCAACTGGAGGTGCCTCAAGAGGCTTTATAGGAGCCTGGGAAGGGCGAAAACAGCCCCCCCCGCCCTCCCAGAGGTCTTCCGGAGGCTTTAGGAGCTTTCCTGAAGCCTCTGGAGTGCAAAAAACTGACCCTATGAGCAACTCCAGTTTGCTTGTAGGGTCGTTTTTTGCGCTCCTGAGCCTTCAGGAAATCCTCCTGAACGCTCCAGAGGGCTAAAAATGGCCCTACGAGCATGTCCAGATTCCTTTGGAAGATATATCGTGTTAGATCTAATCTTAGAAGTGAAAAAGACATTACTTTTGGGAATTTATGCTCCTAATCAACAGCAAGACGGATTCTATAGAAATCTTCATGCTAAATTAGTACAGTGGGACTATAGGTCTTGTATACTATTGGGTGACTGGAACGGCGTGATTGACACTAAAAGAG